CGGGGCGGCGCCATCACGACAAACCAGAGACGGCACAACTTCCCTAGGTTGGAGCTCGGCATTCTTTTTGGCGACCGCTTGGGCCATCCAAGCAAAGACCTGCGAATGGTCTTTGGCCGCCTTCATGGCTTGCTTATAATAATCCTGCATGGTTCGGCCAGTTGAATGCACCTGGGCCCCTCGCTTGGCGAAAAAATCAGCCCACTCGTTGGCAACGAAACGGGCAAAATCGCAATCTGGGGCCTCCAATACTTCCGAGAGCTCTCTGTGCGCAGGGACCCACTCGAAGGTAGGAGGAGCCTCAGGACAGCGCCGCCGTATTTTTTCCCACACAGCCGCGTGTCGACCGCCAGAGGAGGCAGCGGCCCCCGACCAGGCACACCCCTCACGCACAAGATTCAGGTGATCAGACACTACGATTGCAGGCTGCTGCGCAACTTCAACTGCTTTGAGCGCTGCGTAGTGCTCTGCACGTGGCACCGTCTGTACCGCTCCTGGTAGCGCGCCAAAAATTGCACGCAAAACGTTGCCAGCCTCGTCGACCTCCACCACAGACCAGCCGCAGCGGGCCAGCTCTGGGATCGACGACGCTTGGCCGCTTCCGTCGGTGTACACCCTCCGCCCCCATCGCCCGCGCCAGTCCCCCCATCCCAACACGGGATACACGTCGCTCGGGGGCGACAGCGCTGGTGGCTCGGGCGGCAAACCGGAGCTGAGATAAAATTGATCCGCTCCAGATTGCGAATTATTCTTGGCCTTGATGGCCTTCCTCAGCTCGAGGACATAATCTGGAACAGGCACGTCCAACCCGTCGAACATGGCTTCGCACTCAAACCATTGGTGAGACTCGTTGCCAGTCGCTTGCTTGCATACAAAACATTGCGGGGAATTGCGGAGGCCGATGCTGTGCAAACGCTCGGGGGTCCAAACACCAGCCGACCAAAGCGTGCGCAAGGCGCCTCGCCTCGCAACATCTCTTACCGCAAGTACTGCTTTCCTCATTCCCCTCCTCCAGCAGCTCTCTCCAAGGCTGTTGGGAAGGTGCTGAAGGATCCTAACTACTTGCCAGCGGCGAAGGCTTTCCTCCAGGAAGGCTTTCACGTCTCCTGGGCAATGCCTAACTAAATCGACGTGGCGACCTCGATCGTCCACAAGCACTGTTGGAGAAAACATCGTCCAACCCACACGCAGCAGCGTGACCCAAACAGAGGCGATGGGGCCACGAGCTCTGGTCCACGAGGTGCGTTGGTCTAGCTTCGCCCTGACCGCCTCCCAAGCTCTACGGAGCCGTCCAGGCGCGACCCTATTATCCCAAATGAACGACGCAAACCTAACCACCAAAGGAACCGTCGCATCAAAGATAGGGTCGAACCTGTCGTCTCGCTGCGTTGCTAAAAACAGGGTGAGCGACGCCTTGGGCTTGGCCCCGCACATGCCTCCAGCAAACGTCCTAAGCTCTCGAATCGCCGTGTCAGATATCCCTGACACTCCAGCGCCGTGGCCGCCCGCTGGGAGGAGCCCCGTCCTCCACAAGGATTTCACGGCCTCCCCCGCGGCGTGCTTCAATCCCCACACTTTGCGCCTACGAGCCTTGAGATTCTTAAGACGCATCTTTTCTTGCACACGCAAAACCCTAGTGCCGTGCATCTCGTGACCTAGATTGCGCATCGCTCGCTTCGCTCTCATACGAAGAGGTGTCACCAAACGAGCGAATCTATCTCGGCCTCGGCTCGTGTTCGCCACAAAACCTGACTTGCTCGGCTGGACCACTAGCCCGAGCGGTCTCACGCTGAGACAAAAACTGTGTACTGCATTGGCCAAGTCTCTAGCCTGACCTTCGCTCTCTCCTTCCCTGGTACGCTCGCCAGACCAGTGGAAGCTCACATCGTCGATCAGCGCTCGCGGCGTGACCGCGGGGTATATAGTCATGCAATCCTGCAGGCTTCTATGCAACAAAACCCGTAGCATCGTAGTGGCCAATGAACAGCCTGCTAGGATACCCTGGTTAGACTGCACTGGAAAAGACAGGGAGGCAAATGCACGCAGGCAGCGGGGTTGCAGATACGTCTGAATCGTCATCCAAGCTAATCTCATCGGAAACCGATTCAGCCTAGCCTGGTGGAGCAGGCTCTGCAAAATGACAGTCTCATAGCATTTCAACATATCGATAAATACTGTGAGGCTGTCCTCTCCTAACTCGTGCGCAATCTCGGCCTCTAGATTCAATGAAAACGCACTATCCGAGCTCGACCTACCAGCTCCCGTCCCCCAGAAACAATCGAGGTCATGCTCCACCTCCCAGGCGGCCGCAATGGGCCTGCGGGCTCTGCCCCAGACTCTCAGAAGCGTGTTCAAGAGCGCGATCAACCTACATCCTCCCGACGCCTTGGGGAGGCGAACAAGCTGCGTCAGCAGTCTGCGAGATGGCCAGATCAAGAGACTTTCACACTTCATCAAAAGCTTCGCTGAGGCCGCCAGGCCTGAATTGCTCAGAAAAATTAAACTGCGAGGAGCAAAGCTGAACTGGCCGACTCCCGTCGCCCATGGGAACTGAAGACTGGATCGCTGCAAGTCCTGCACAGACAAGGGCGGGAGCTCCTCCCAGTCCTTCGCTTCGGCTGGCAGCTGTGGGGCGGCGGCGTCGTGCATCGACCAGATCTCCTCCCAATCCCTCATGGCCTTGTCGGCTAACTGATACGGCTGGGCAGGCGTGCGAGCGGTCACGTTTGCATTAACCACCTCCTGCAACGCTCTCCCTTGAGGAGGAGGAGGCGGAGGAGGAGGAGGAGGAGGAGGAGGAGGAGGAGGAGGAGGAGGAGGGAGAGGAAGTATGACGAGGGAGGAGGTGGAGCATGAGCAGAAGGAGGAAGATGAAGAGGAGGCGTAGGAGGAGGAAGGCGAGCATAAGGAAGATGATGTTGAAGGTGCACGCGTTCACTCTAATTTGGTGAACCCTAGGTGGGAGGTTGAGGAGGAGGAGGAGGAGGAGGAGGAGGAGTAGGAGGAGGGGGATGAGAAGGATTATGAAAAGGTGTGAGGGAGAGAAGGAGAAGCTTCCGATGGCCCTCCGAGGCCTCGAGGTGGCTCCAAGATGGCCCGAGAGGGCCCCAAGCGGGTCCCAAGAGGGGGTCCCAAGATGGTTCCAAGAGCGCCCAAGAGCGCTCCAAGAGTGCTCCAGGAGGGCGCCAGGAGGCGACGTTGGGGGCTCCAGCGGGCCAGTGCTCTCGGAAGCCCCCCTTTGTTTGGTCGATGTCCTCCAAGATGTCTCCACGAGGGCCCCCGAGCCTCCCAGGAGGGCCCCAAGACGAGCCCCAGGGGCTCCCCAAGTGGACCCCGAACAGCCCCAAGAGCCCCAAGAGCGCCCCTGGAGGACTCCAAGAGGTGATTTTTCGAGCCCGAGAGGGGCAACCCTAGTCCGCGCCGCCCCCTTGTTTGAACGATGACTCCTGAGGTGGCTCCAAGAAGGCCTCGAGACCCTCAAGAGGGTCCCAGACCCAGCGCCGATCTGGGCAATCCGCGCGAACCTCCGAAAGCGTATGTTTACTCAGTTCGTTCCTTCAACAGCTCATTTGCAAGGTTTCCGTACTTCTTCTAGCACCCAGTGAAGGACGTGGCCCCCCACCGTGAACTGCGTCAGGCTGTTTAGGGTACTCTGCGCTGCAAGGTATTCGTTCCTCCAGCCGCTCCCCGTGGCAGCAATCCGCGCGGTGTCCTCCGGAATCTGCTTATGACATGCCGGTCTTCCTCAGGTCACCCCACCCTCCCTCGCAACCGCTCTGGGCTCCAGTGCGTCCCCGAGCGCACCGACGGCGCCCGCCAAGCCGCGAACACCCGCAGCCAGACACCGCCCGAGGCGCCCTCTCGTGATGGCGATGCGCTCCGTGCTGGCCCTGCTGCCGCTGCTGCGGGCTGCCTCCGCGGCGCCCGCCGCCGAGGCCCCGGCCCGCCAGCAGAGGGCCGCTGGCGGCGACGCCCCGGGCGCCGAGCTCGGCGGCTCCTGCGCGTACTACGGCTGCAGCGAGACGTTCCGGGTGATGTGGGCCCCCCGGGGGGTCCGGCCAACGCGCGCCACGACGCGAGCAGGGCTCGGGCCGGACGAAAGGGGGGGATTGGGACAGTGGGGGTTACGAAATCTGCTGCATGCAGCTGGTTTCGGCCCCACCGAGGGGCCCATTCCTCGATACATGGCCGCCTCCCGGCGCCGGGAGGCGCCGGGAAAATCAGCTACGTGAGCTGATTCTTAAACCCCCCCTTTGCTATCCCCCCCCTTTCGCCCGGCCCGAAGGGCCTGAGGAAGAGGCGGGCCCCAATGGAGCCTGTACGCACTTTCCAGGGGCTGCTGGGGCTTCCATGAGGGGCGCGTTTTCCACAAGGGCGCCTTCGAGGGCGCGAAGTTGTTCGCGCTTCGCGCTTCGCGGTTCGGCTCCGATTCCTCCTCATCCTCCTCTTCTCCCCTGGGAGGCGGCGCGAGAGCGCGAACTTATTTGCACTTCGCGCTTCGCGCAGCGCGAAGCGCGAAGTTGGGAGCCCTTGTAGGAGGTGGAGGGTGAGGAGGAGGAAGAAGAAGAGTGGGAGGAGGGCCCCCTCCCCCCTCAAACTTACGGTGGTGGTGGTGGTGGTGGAAGACAGGCCCATCATTCCACGGGCAGCTTGACTTGGGGGAGAGCCCTGGGGTCAAGGACCCCTCTCCCTCAGGGCCCGCTTGTTTCATGCCAGGACTTCCAACGTCGTCGGCACCATCCCCACCCCGACTGGGACCTTTCCGACCCCCCCCTGGAGGCCCAGAGCCCGAATCGAGCTACAGCTCCGGGAGCAGAACGTGCGAGTCCAGGGTTTGTTGACAGGTGTTGGAGACTAAGCTGGATCCCGACGCGATCGGCCACCATTCAGGAGTCCCTCGCCACACGCCTTCAGGACCCCGCCCGCGGGTCGCGCGGAAGAAGGACCCGCTGATGGACCCGCGCTGCGCTGGGCCCGTCCCTTTCCTTCACCCCCTGCCTTTGTATTGTGCATCCCTTCCTCCTTCCTCGCCTCCGTCCTCGGCTCCTCCTGTCCCTCTTCAAGCCCTTTTTTGTTCTTGTGGCGTGGTGCCTCCTCTTCTCCCCCTCGGCTCACTCTCCTCCGCCGGACGGCCGCTGTCCCTCGCGGTTGTCGGTCTGTCTCAATCTGCAGTTTGCTGCAGCTCCTCGCTCCTCGCTTCTCTCTTCGCTTCGCGTGGCCCCAGTTGCCCTTGTCTCGCTGGCGCCTTGTCCTGATTCTGGCTGGCGTGCTGCCTGTCCTGCATCGCGTGAGTTCTCTTTTTGTCGCCCAGCTTGAGCTGGCTTTGGCAAGGTCGTTACTGGTGGGTGCCTTTGCGGCTTCTTCGTCCCGCTTGCGACGCTCAAACAGTGTGTGTTTGTGTGTATGTGTGTGTGCGTGTGGAGTTGGCGCCCTCCCACAGGCCTGCCAGTGCAGCCCCGGCTGCGAGCTGCAGGACAACTGCTGCTCCGACTACGCGACCACGTGCCGCGCGCCCGCGCGCGCCCTCCTCGACGACGGCAGCGCCGCCATGGCCCTGCGCATGGACGACCGCGCGCCCTGGAAGCAGGAGGGCGAGCGCGACGGCACCCCCGCGGCGCCGCAGCCGGACGCTGCGGGCGGGCTCGCGGCGCCGAGGGAGGCGACGGGGAGCCTCCAGCACGACGCGCAGCAGGCGGCGCCGCAGCGCAGCACGCAGCTGGTGCAGCTGCCCTCGCAGCCCCTGACGCCAGCGCGCCCCGCCCTGCCGCCCGCGCCGAGCCCGCCGCCCCCGCCGCCGCCCGCGGAGCAGGCGCCGCAGGAGCCGCCGCGGCAGGCTCCGCAGGAGCCCGAGCCGGTCGAGAGGCGGCGGGTTTCAGTCGGGCGTGTCCCTCTACAGTTAAGTCGAGCCTGTCCCCCTACAGGGGGACCTTCGACGAAAAATAAGAAATACCCCCAAAATGCCCCAAAAAGGTGAAAATGCCTACAGGAGGAATACAGTCGGCCCGGATTCGTAGTCAAGCAGTGGCGCAGCGTCACCAAACAACGTTCTGAGAACCTTCTTTGTGGTTCCCACGGAATGTTCTCAGAACATTTCTGGCGGAGATTGTCTTGTTTTAACACATCGGGCATATGTTCTAATAACATCGTTGTTATTCTTAATCAATTTTTGGGTTCTAATAACATTTCGTGGTAGGACTATAGGAATGCCGGGACGGTCGGTTCCTGCTCAAAGTAGGTCTACCCTGTCAGCTCAAGGGTGCTCTTGTGTCCCGTGCCTCGCGCCTCGCGCCTTCTGACACTCCTATGGCGGTGTGGCCCTCGGAAGGGTCTTGTGTCCTCTCGCGTGTCCTGTCCAATCAAGGCCTGCTGTATTCAAACATAGTCAAGACATGATACGGGCACGATGCTTGGATGCTTGCCTGGCGCTTTTTGAACATCTCTTTTGGCAGTGCCGCATTCTTCTTCTTTCAGGGCCCGCCTGTAGGCGGACATGCCCGACTTAACAACGGGGCTTGGGAGCGTGTCCGCTGCCGTGGGCACATCGGACATGAAGTCGACCTGCCACAGATGGGGCCCCGTGGAAGCCTCGCGCCCGCCGATGGCCCCAGGGACGCCCAGGAGCTCTGGGCCACCCTCCTTCGGACCCTCAGCAGGTTGATGAAGAAGGTGCCCCACCACTTCGTATAGCAAGAGTTCTTGCCGTATGCTTATGATGCTTTACTTTAGCCGTGTCCACCAGAAAGAAGTTCGAGCACCAGGAGAGTACCGAAATTGGAGGGTTTTCGCGTGTCGGGCCCTGGGAGGCGACACTCGTTCGACACGGTTTCGATACTTTTCCCTCTGTGCTCGAAATTCTGTCTGGGATGTGGTCCTGAAGTACGATGGGAACAGCATAAGTATAGCAAGACTTCTTGTCGTAGGTGCCTGCTGCATCCTGTTTCCCCCCATCCCCTTACCCCCCCCCCCTCTTTGCCTCCTCCTGGGGGGAGGGGAGACGCGCAGCTGCAGTGAACATCCGTGCGCGGGGTGGGGAGGCAGCAGCCGCTCCTTGGGTGGACTGCCCGGGCCCCAGGCAGACCCAGCAGACCACGGAGGACCTCCGGCCCAGGCCCGAGCCCGCCAGCCAGCTCGACCCGCCGCCGCCGAAGAAGAAGCCGTCCGCCTGGATCCTGCCGCTGGCGGGGGCCTTCGCCGCGGCGGGGACGCTGCTCCTCGCCATCGCGGGGGCGCGGCAGTGCTGCAGGGGCACCGCCGCGCCCCGGGGGCGGCCCGGCGCGGTCGCGCCCCTCCGCAGCCCCCGGGACAACTCGCCCCTGATGGTGTCCCCCAGCCGCCAGGATGAAGTCGGGCGTGTCCCTCGAGAGGGGGAATATCCAGAGATAGTTTTAAAATGGCATGGGGACGATTCTATACATTATATATATATATATATAAAACGTGTTGTGGGTATTCTGTTGGGTATGTTTTATTCGTTTGTCCAAAACCCGCCTGTAGGGGGACATGCCCGACCTGACGCCAGGATCCGTACGAGGAGGACGACATCGTCAACAGCTTCGAGAGCCAGGTCAAGGAGGCGAAGCAGCGCGCGAAGAGCCTGACGCGCAAGTCTCACTCGCCCCCCGCAAGACCGTCCAGTCGCTGAGGCGCTGGAGGTGGGTCGGCGTCGCGCGGGAGTGGGCAGGGCAACGGTGGGCGGCTTTCCTCCAAATGGCCCCCCCCCCCTCGCCTCGCCTCTCAGATGTCCTCCTGCAAGGGCGCCCTCGAGGGCGCGAAGTTATTCGCGCTTCGCGCTTCGCGGTTCGGCTCCGATGATTCCTCATCCTCCTCTCCTCCCCTGGGAGGCGGCACGAGAGCGCGAAGTTATTCGCACTTCGCGCTTCGCGCAGCGCGAAGCGCGAAGTTGGGAGCCCGTTTCCTTATTCATTACTTTGCCGATAGGTGCGGGCCCTCGCCCCCCCCCTCCCCCCCCCTCATGAAGCAGGCCTTGGCTATTTTGGGCGCCTGTTTCAAGCAGGTGGGGTCTCACCCATAGGACGCACTGTTGCAAGCAGTCGCGCTGAGCAGATGTCCGGAGCCAGACCCCCCCCCTTCCGCCCGAGGTCGAAACGCCGAGAGATAAAGCGCTCACCTGGCTGCTGAGAGGCCTCCTCCTCAGGAGCCCCCGACAGCGAGCAGGCCGATCCTTTCTCTATTAGGTCGCCTGCAGGGGTGCGAGGGTGCGCGCGTCGCGCGTCGCGGTCTGGGCCAGAGAGCTGCCCCTTGTCCAGGGGGGCGACGCCAGGGTTACGTCGGGCATGTCCCTCTACAGGAGGATTCGTCAAGAATTGTCAAAGTTAAAAAAAGTCAGGGGACGATTTTCCGACCATTTATGGACTATTGATGAATCTGTTTGGCTACTTGTCATCTTTCTTCTCAAGTCCGCCTGTAGGAGGACATGCTCGATCGAACGCCAGGGTGCGAGAGCGCGGAGGTGGCCGTGCGTCGCGCCTCGCGCGGCGCGGTGTGCGAAGCCGGGCGACCCCTTTCCTGGGAGGAGGAGGAGGAGGAGGAGGCGGAGGAGGAGGAGGAGGAGGAGGAGGAGGAGGAGGAGGAGGAGGAGGAGGAGGAGGAGGAGGCCGCCCTCCGCCTGCTCGGCAGGCCGCCCCCCGTGGCCCTGGCCCCACGGGCGCCACCTATGCACGTTAACGAGCGAGAGGCCGCTGGGCAGCCCGCCAGGCAGGCCCGCCCGCCTGCCCCGCAGGCCGACCAGCCCCGCCTCGCCCGGACCCCCCCAGACATCGGGCGTCTGGACCAAAACCGGGGCGCGGCGGTTTTTCGCAGTCTTTGGCTTCTCGGGGCCCTCGCCAGGCCTCGGGGCCGTCAAGAGACGACTCGGGAGGAGACACCGGCCCCAGGGAAGAGTGGTCGGGTGGTCGGGGGCCCGTGTCCGAAAAAAATCGTGACGTCGGATGTTTGGGCCTGGCGCCCGTGCACTTTTGACGAGCGAAGGGCCGGTGGGCAGCCCGCCTGCTCCGCAGGCCGCCCTTTCCCTTCGCCCTGACCGGCCCACACACCTCCGGCGTCTCGGCTTCTTCGAGGCGCGGGCCCCCGAGCTATCCCGACCACTCTTCCCCGGGACCAGTGTCTCCTCCCGAGCTGTGTTTTTTGGACGGTCCCGAGGCCCAGCGAGGGCCCCGAGAGGCCAAACACTGCTGAACAGCCTCCGTCTTGACTTTATCGAACGTTACGAGAGGAGGAGGAGGCGGAGGAGGAGGAGGAGGAGGAGGAGGAGGAGGAGGAGGAGGAGGAGGAGGAGGAGGAGGAGGAGGAGGAGGAGCGAGGAGGAGGAGGAGGAGCGAGGAGGAGGCGGAGGAGGAGGAGGCGGAGCGAGGAGGAGGAGGAGCGAGGAGGAGGAGGAGGAGGAGGAGGAGGAGGAGGAGGAGGAGGAGGAGGAGGAGGCGGAGGAGGAGGAGGCGGAGCTGCGAGAAGCCTCCGCCTCGATTTTGGCGAGACGCCCGCTGCCTGGGCCTGGCGCCCCAGGGGCACTCTCGGCGAGAGGAGGCCGGCGGGCAGCCTGCCAGAGGCAGGCGCGGCCGGGCAGCGGGCAGAGTCGGCGGGGGCCGCGGCCGAGCGCCGTGGCCACTCGCCGCCGCCCCCTCCTCGCCCTAATTACTCGTCTGCCTCGGCCTCGTCCGCCGCCTCGTCCCCAGACATCGGGCGCCTCGAAGACGTCGCAGCGGGCGTTCTTGCGTACAGTTTTGGCCCCTCGGGGCCCTGGCCGGGCCTCGGGAGCGTCAAAGATCGACTCGGGATGAGAAGCCGGTGCCGGGGAAGTGGTCGGGAGGTCGGGGGGGGGGGCGTGTCTTGAACAAAGCGAGACGTCGGATGTGTGGGTCCATGTGAGGCGTTATAGACAAGCAAAACACACACACAAGAAGGGCCGTGCCTTCGAGGACCGAGGGAGTCGTCATCTCGGCTCGAGGATCGAAGGCTCGGTCGAGGATCGAGGACGGAAGGATCGATCGAAAGTTCGTGCCTCCGAGGATCGAAGGATGGATCGAGGATCGAGGATCCTCGACGGAAAGCGGCGGAAAGGCGGCGGAAGGCGGCGGAAGTAAAACGGCGGCGGCTCCGCCAGCGGAAGCTCGGCGGCGGAGGCAAAAGTCGACTTCCCAAGAGATGGCAACTTTCTGGGTTCAGTGTTTCAGCCGCCACCTGTCGCCGCGCCGTCTGTTCCGGCGCGCGGCCTTGCGTCCTGGGGAGGGCGCCGCGGCCACCAGGGCAAGCCCCGCCTCAGTGGCTAATACTTCGGGCGTGCCCTTCTACAAGGGGGAAATTCCCAAATAGTCAAACAAATAGTTTGGGGACGATGTTCCGACTCTGTTTGAGTATTTTTCGAGTCTGTCTAATTTTCGCCTCGAATCCGCCTGTATAGGAGGACGCGCCCGACCTAACTCAGACGCAAGGCTTGCCGCGGGGCTTGCCGCGGCTCCAGCTTCAGTTGCTTGGGCGCGTTGGGAACACACGGCGCGGCGACACATCGGCTCCTCAGGCGCAGCGGCAGGGCCGCAGGGGGGACGGGCTCGTGGAGAGAAGGCAGCGACCCCGAGTCGCCTATTGATCCGCGCCCAGGAGCGTGCGGATCCGCCATCGGTAGGGGGACGAACAACGACATAGACATAAGAAGTCGGAGGTCCGCGCGGAGTGCTTGGGTCGGCGCTGGGGCCCCCTGGCGGCGACTCTGGCGCCGCCCCTGGCGCGCTCCGCGCGCCAGGGAGGGGGGTCCAGCGCGGATCCAAGAAATCCGCGCGGACCTCCGAGTTTTTACGTTTATGCTTATGATGTTCCAGCCTACTTTAGCCTTAATCGCCAGGAAGAATTTCGAGCGGCCAGAAAAGTGCCGAAACTCAAGGGTTTTCACGTGTCGGGCCCTGGGAGACACTCGCCCGACACTGTTTCGACACTCTTCTGACACCTTTCTGGGTGCTCGAAACTATTTCTGGGATGTGGCCCTCAAGTAGGATGGGCACAACATAAGTTTATGTCATGTCTCGCTCCCCTAATCCTAAGTCGGGCCTGTCCCCCTACAGGGGGATTTTCGACGAAACAAATACCCCCAAAATAGTCACAAACTAGTTCCAAAATAGTCTGGGGACTATTTTGGGAGTATTTTTTTTGTTCCTTTGCCTTTTTGGGGTATTTATGTTTTTTATTTTTCGCCCGAAATCCCCCTGTAGGGAGACACGTCCGACTTAAACAGAAGTTTATGCCATGCCTCGTTTCCCTAGAATCGGGGGCCTGTGGCCGCTCTCCGTCGGCGATGTGCCGCCGACTCCGGGTGGGCGTGCCAGAGGTCCCGAGCCGGTCCCCCTTCCGTCGGGGGCGGAAAAGAGGGGGGTGATGACTAGGGGGGGGTGGATATCATGGCGTGGGCCATGATATTTCCCCAGATCTCGTGGCGCCTCTTCTTATTTCATTACGTCCCTGGCCCCCCCGCTGGGCCGCGCACATGCCGCCGGTCATGATTTTCACCCGCCCCCTCTTGGACACCCCCCTCTTGGCCGCTCCCGATTCCGCTCCCGGAGCGCTCCCGGGTCGCGCGCTGGCCAGGGGGCTCTGCGGCAGTTCTTCGCCGCGGTGGCGGCACGGGGCCCGTCCAGCAGGTCTGCCCAGCAGAGGTGTCACGGACTCGTCTCCTCTCTCTCTCTCTCTCTTGCTCCCTTGCTCTCGTCCCCTCGGGGGACGTCACCATTATTCGGGGAACAAGCGGTTACGTCAGCCCAGGCAGGGTCGCGTCGTAGACCAAAAGTTTGGACGGGAGGTGTTTGGCCATTCTCGGCCTCGTGGGGCCCTCGCCGGGCCTCGGGACCGTCGAAAAAGAACTCAGGATGAAAAACTGGTCCAGGGGAAAGGGTCGGGACTTCCAGGGACCCCGTACTGAAAGAATCGTGACGTCGCATGTCTGGGAACCCAACAGCTCGGAGGTCCGCGCAGATCTCTTGGATCGGCGCTGGGCCCCCCTCCCTGGCGCGCGGAGCGCGCCAGTGGCGGCGCCAGAGGCGCCGACAGCGGGTCCATCGCCGATCCAAGAAATCTACGCGGACGTCCGACCTGTTATGTTTATGTCATCGTCTAGTTCTCTACAACTATCCATATGGTCCGATTCCGGCCAGGCCAACCTCTCCCCCTTTTTCTGGCTCCATGCTCCCCCCCAGCTCCCAATCTGCCTCTGACGGGCGGATGCGCGAAAAGATTCAGTTAATGCTCAATTTGGCTCCCCCCAAAGGGGGGGCGCGACCTGTGCACGCCTCAAGACCGCGGCGCTGAACCTTCATGCTCCGAGGCCTTTCTGCTGATTGCTTATTCTCGATGCTATTGTCCTCATCCTCACCTCCCTCGCTCACGTTTGACTCTCCATCTTGCGACAAGCCCCTCAGCCGTGCCAGCAGCAGCGCAGCAGGGATGAGGAGAAGTGTAATTCCCGTTTCTGCCCAGTTCATTGTCTGAGCCAGCGCAGGTCTTAAACACCACCTCGTTGCCATCAGTCTCGTCCTCTTCCTTCTCTTCTTCCTCATCCTCCGTCTCCTCTCCCTCCATCCTCACTCTTGAATGCGCTTTGGACACCCACTCTGAGTGCGGGGTTCTGGGAACATTTGGTGGCTCTTTTAAGGGTCCGTTTGGGGGTCTGCTGGGTGCCTGTTGGGTTTCTTGGGGCTCTCTCGGGCGCACTGATTCTATCCCAAGCTCTCCTCGGGTGACTCGGTGGAGCCGTTCTGCGTCTGTTGTTGCTGCTCCTGCTGCTGCTCCTCATCATTATCATTGTCCTCCCGTTATCCTTGTTTCTTATTCCTCTTCATGTTTTGTTCCACTCATCGTCGTCCTGACTCCTTCAGCTTCATCCTGCCCCTCCTCATCCCCCTCTCGCTCCCGCTCCTGCTCATGCTCATGACTCTTATCATACGGTGGGGGCGTCGGCTAAGGAATGTGTCCAGAAGGCTTCAGGCCCTGGACTGGGTTCCTTATCTGATGAGGGCGGCGGTGATATCCATGGCCAATCCACGATTGGAGCTCCACCGGCTTCCAGACCTTGGATTCCTTATCCAATCATTCCTTATCCGATGCTGTCGCTGGTGTCATGCCTCCTCGACATCCTTCCCAGCGTTCCACTCGTCGCCAGCGGCCCGCTCCTCCGCACTCTGCTCCTCATGCGTTCCCCCCATTTACGCACGTCGCATCGTTATCTCCCAATCCAAGTTAGGAGAACGAGGAAGAGGAGGAGGGGCCAGGCAATGATGATGGTGATGATGATGACTACGATGATGGCGATTATGCTGATTATGCTGATGATGCTGATAATGATGAAGATGATGACGCTGGTGATGATGCGGATGATGATTATAATGATGATGCGGATAATGATGAGGATTGGTGTCTGTGATGATGCCAGGGATGATGCTGATGCTGATGATGATGAGGATGAGGATGCGGATGATGATGACGACGATGATTAGGATGATGATGATGATGCTGCTGATGATGAAGCTGATGATTAGGATGACGATGCCGATGATGATGATGATGATGATGATGATGATGATGATGATGATGACGTCGATGATGATGACGATGACGATGACGATGATGATGATGATGATGATGATGATGATGATGATGATGATGATGATGCTGATGCTGATGCTGATGCTGATGCTGATGCTGATGCTGATGCTGATGCTGATGCTGATGCTGATGCTGATGCTGATGCTGATGGTGCTGATGATGCTGATGATGCTGATGCTGATGATGATGTGGGTGATGACAATGATGGTGATGATGGTGATGACGATGATGTTGATGATGATGCTGATGATGATGATAGTGATGATGTTGGTGCTGATGATGATGCTCTCTCTCTCTCTCTCTCTGATTCTCCCGTCCTCGCGCGCGCCTCGGTCTTTTGCAGCCATCTCGGCCCCAGGAGCCCGGCACGCGTCGCTTCGCGCGGCAGGGTGTGGGGGCTGCCGCGGGGGACTCCATCGACGGCTTCGAGCCCATCGTGCACTCTCACCTCGCCCCGCGCGGTTTCAGTCGGCATGGTGCTCCGCCTGTGTCCCGACCGTCTTGAGCCAGCGTTGTGGCCGACCGTTTGCCCTGGGCGGCGGTCGTTCGGGCAGGACCGCCTTGCGGCACCCTGCCCCGTCGTGGTTCTGGGCCCTGCCCGGCCCGTCTGCTGCTCTCCCTGCGGCGGGCGGTGCAGGCAGCGGTTCGCGTCACGACCTGCCTTGGGATGGGCGGCTCCAGCCTGCGGGGCGCGGTTGGAGCAGCCGCAGGCTCTTGGGCCGTTCCGCGCACGCAGCCGGGACGCGAGCGTCGGGTCTCCCTGGCCTCTCCGGCAGGTGGCCCTTGGCGCCCATCTCGCAGTCGTCGCCGCAAAGCCCTTTTCCCCTCTGTCTCCTGCCCCTTCCCTCCTGGCCTCTGAGGCGGCTGGGAAGTGGACTCATTTGAGGGGAAGGGGAGGGGGGGAGGAGCTCACGCGCCGTGCGCGGCGTCGCCGAAGCAGGGCGATCACTCCCGCGGCATGGACGAGCGGCTGTCCTCGAGCAGCCGGGAACGCTGGTGGGCCCCGCTGCTCTCCTCGCGACCCGTCTCGCGGGCGCACTTCTGACAGCAGGCTCAGGTGTAACCTCCGCTGGCGCGCGCGTGACGACAGGCAACGGGGCCGACGGTGCGAAGACAACGGCGTTCGGGACGGGGGAGTCGGAGTGGGTGGACTCTTCTAACCTCCACCTCCCCACTCCCTCCCCTCCCGTCGCTGCTTCGCCTTGGCTCACCTGCGTCGTCGTGCGACGCAACTCCATCGCGGGCATCGCAGACCCTTCGATTTTATTCTATGCTGTAGTTGCCCCGTCGCTTGGCATGGTGCGCTCCAGCGATGCAGTGGCTGCGTCGTCTGCGGGCGAGGCTCCCCGGTCACCCCCTGCCGTTGGCATCGTGTGGTCCAGCGTTGCTGTAACGGCCCCGCAGGGATTTGCGCGTGCTGCGTCAGGGTCGTTCGATCCTGCACCTTCCCGCAAGCGTCCGCGGCGTGGCTATCGTCGCGGCCCGCGCGGCGTGGCTGCAGGCGTCGCGACAGGTCGGGGCACCCCGCCACGGGGCAGTCCCACGGCTGCCCCGCCTTCGCGCGCCAGTTTCGGGCCCCCTCCGGGGTCGGAACCGCCATTGCAGCCGCGCGCCTTGCGGACGGGCCCGCCACCAGGGTTTCAGGCCCTGCTCTGCGGGTTGCTGCCTTCCGGCTCAGCCCACGAGGTGCTTTTTTCTTGCCGTCGACCAGGTGGGGTGCCTCCGGGCCTCTCTGGTTTGGAGGCTGGCGATTCGCCTCGCGCCTTGCTCGGCACTGTGCCTGATGGTTCATCCAGGGCGCCACTGTCCTCTGACGTCGGGTGGGTTTGCCCGCCCCCTGGCCGTGCCGATATGGAGGCGGGCGAGCGCGTGTCACACGCGGCCCTTTCGCGCCCGACTGTCCTTTCTGTTGGGGGCCTTTGGCGTTTGCTGGGCTCCGGGTCCGTGGCCTGCTTGCCGTACAGGAATTGCCACTTGTGGTGATCAACCGCGTGTCCTGGCGGCGGGCGGAACGATTCCCAAAGGGTTTGAAGGGGTAGGCCTGCGCCCATCTGGAGAAGCTGTCACGGCCCCGCAGGGAAGGGTTCGTACCGCCCCCTCAGCCGCTGCTCAGGCTCACCGCTCACCGGCCTGGCACTTCGCCGGACGCTCGCGACTTGTTGCGGTCTTTGTGGGTTCTGGGGATCTCGCTTCGCGCTGCCGATCTCTCCCCCTGGGTTGGTGGACGCCGGCTTGTCAGCTCCTGCTGCAAGCGCCCGGGTCATTGCGGGCCGCGTGATTCGCTCGAGTTCTCGGAACTTGCTTCCCTCGCTCGGGGCACGCGGTTGGGCCTTCCCGCGCTCCCGCTGGGCTTAGACTGCCACGGCCCGCCCGCGGGGTGGGGGGACCATCGTTGCGGCCCTGGACAACGGAGTGCCGTTGGTTCGCGCGGATGTCCAGTTGGATCTCCAACGCCTGCTGGCTGCGAATGCGGCCAAAAGGCTGTGGCGCCCCCCTCCGCGGGTTCCTACCGACCCGCGCCGAGTCCGCCTCGAGGCGCCGGCGCTGTTCGCCGACGAAGCGGCGCGCGTGGGCATCCCCCAGGACGACCTTCAGGCGACGCGCTCGCCCAGTCGCCTCCCCCGCCGCAGCGGGTTCACAGCCGCGCAGCTGCGCCGGCGTCGGCTCCTGTTGGGAACGGCCAGCGACCCTCCCCAAGATGCGGCCAATCCAGGGGCCCAGGGGGGCAAGCCCCCTCCACGTTCGCCCCAACAAGAAGCCAGCGGGGCCTGTTAGGGGGGGCAGGCGCATTTTGCGCAGTGTTGCCGAGGGGAGGAGTCGAGACGATTCGATCAATTCGACGACGTCGCGGCTGCTAAGCGTGCCTGGGCTGAGCGCGGTCGCGACCATAGGAAAGTGCCACTCCAGCGATAGTGTTACGGCCCCGCAGGGAGATGCACGTTCAGCGGTGGTGACTTTCTCTCCGCTTCTGGTCCCCGTCAGGCTCTGTCTAGGCCCTCGGGCCCCTCTTGCCCTAGCGGCTCGGGCGCGGGGTTGCTGCCCAGTGCCGAGGCCGCGTCTCCTGCTGCTCCCCAGGCCGCGCCCTCTGTCGCTGTCCTTTCTGCCTTGCTGCGTCTGCTCCTGGGCGCGAACATCGATGTCGCCCACTTGGCCGGTGCGTTGGCCCAGGTCGGGCAGGGTGCTTGTTGTTCTCTGGCTTCTTTCTCCCGCGCTTCTCTCCGCGCCTCCTCCGTCGCAGATCTGTTTTTATTGTCTCGCTATCCATATGCATGATCGCGTGTAGTCCATACGTACAGGTTTGAAGAGGCTACGGCCTCCTCCACCAGGTCTCGAGCAGGCCCGGACAGCTGTCCGCAGTGGTGGTTCGTTCGTTCGTTCGTTCGTTCGTTCGCTTCTCTCCGCGCGCCGGTTCGGGGTGCTCCTGCTTCTGAGGAGGCCTCGGACGCCTGGCCCGCCCTAAAAGCGGGCCTCGGGGTGCGACAGGGATAAGTTGTTTATATGGAAAAAGGATAGAGGATGAGGAGGAGGAGGAGGAGGAGGAGGAAGAAGGAAAACTAATAATAAGAAAAGAAAGAAGAATCCGACGGCCCCCTTGTGGGGTCACCCGGCTGTAGGACCAGGGTTTGTTGTTCCCTGCGCCAGTTCCAGTTTCCAGTTTCCACTGTTACAGTTTTGCTTCTTGTTGTTTACTGTTCCTTGTTGTAGACCGCGCGAGGGGGGGGGAGCCGAAAACCGTTCTGGTTAGCACCTCTCGGGAGGGGTCTCAGAATTCTTGGGCGGCAGGGCGCATGCAGTCGCGCTGCCGTCTTCGGGAAAACAAGGATCACACATAGTTTCCCGCATTGAAGCTTAAGATGGAATCAGTGCAAGCTACGATGGTGCTTCGATGAGGGGTGAGGGG